CTCAGAGTTCACTCCTCTAACTCCAGCTGTCTGGCAGCACCGAAGAATCCCAAATATTTTGGGGATTTTTTCAGGGTGGCTATTTTTGGATAGTTGACTCACTATCCCCTTGGTGATTGGCTGAGAAAATATCCAATAAATACTAATAATGTATTTATTGGGTATTTTGGGGCTCTATTTCTACCAAGTGCACACCCCCTAGCTTTAAACCCTGCTAACGGGGAAAAATACAGACACAAAATATGTACCTGAGATCTAATGCAGTGATTAGAGTGTCTGACTAGAACTGGGGAGTTCCATGAAGTTCAATGGCTCACCGTAGATAATTCACTGTCTCAGCCAAGATACAGTAAAGGAGCAGTGAACCATGGACACCACCCAGAGCTCTTTGGAGCAGGGACAGGATACACGTCACAGGTAAACTAGTCCTTTTTCCTACTGAGAGCTTGATGAAGCCTGGGAGAGTAACATGCAAGACTGATGAGAAGTGGTGCTTGTCAATGAGATGTCCTTGTTTGTAAACTGATTCTTCTACTTGTTAACAGGACTGTATAGAATAGACAGTTTTTACTGCATGTGAAATGGTCCATAATGCTGTGAACCACTGGTCTCATTCTAAACAACTGAGGAACACCAAATGGATATTGTTATAACATCCCTACAACCAGAGTACTTGCTGCAAAAAAGTGGCATTCATCTTTTTTCCTCCTCTTGAAGTTATATGTAAACTTCCTCTTTTGCAACCCATCCACCACATAATAATTTTCACATAATACACAACAACTGTAATTACTATGAAAACATTTTAATAGGTCAGCTTTTCAAGTATAGACATAATTTGTTAACGGCAGCAGACTCCTTCTGGACTGCTAAATAGTTTCCCCCCATTGTTTCCTCAGTTTTTTTCCCAATGGAAATGATATGTACATCGCAAGCAATTCAACTTGGTTAAAACTATACATTTGAGATGTCCCTATGTACTGCTTTTATGTGAAAAAAGAAAAGAAAAAGAAAACCAGGTCGTATCAACAAATAGTTCTAAAACACATTGAAGAAATTTGTGAGCATTTCACCTTCAACAAATGCATACTCTGGTGTTTTGTTTTAATATAACAAAAATAAACACATACATTTTTTTAAATGGGTGGGCAGAACGGCATGAACTGCTAGTGGCAAGCATCAGCAACAGAAAGAATACCAAACTCTGCCTGTTACTTAAGCATAAACACAGGTTTTGTTTTTTTTAATTTGAAAAAAACTCACTATAAACAAAACAAATGTACATAAAACCGTAAAACCCCTCAAGGCATGTACAATGTCCCTCAAGAATTCCCAGTGAAAACTGCTTCCAGCAACATATTTGTACAACAAATGTGACAGTGTTGCCTAATCTGTTTCAATAACCACAAATATAAAAATACAGTCAATTTGATTTTCCATACAGCAAGCCTTTTTGTTTGTTTCCCAGTAGTAAAGAGGAAACACATCATATGATTTCAAGCAAAATATATATAAAAAAGAAACACACTCATCTAGTTCATACCCAGCCTTAATAGATTGTGATTTAAAAACTGAAAGGAAATCAATGTGACCATTACCTTCAGAAGTGCATACAATTTATTCCTGTAAAAATGGGCGTAAACATTATTGAGGAGTATATGTATGCCTGTGTGTGGGCCACAACCAAGTGAAGAGCTCCCCCATCTAATAGGATATAGACATTCATCCCAAAACAACAAGGCACTGTCCTAAAATGGCATATTAAAAAGCAAGAGACAATGTTCTAGAATACATGGGTTTAAATTGTCTATAACAGAAAAAGTAAACATGCCCACTTTTCTGTAGCTCACAGCCTCAAGTTAGTTCCTTTGCTGATGCACAAGCACTGCAATCTTAAACAGATTTAGGCCCATGGATTTAAAAGGGTATAGATCTGCTTAGTGCTCTTTACATTTGCCTCTTCCAAAATCAGCACAATCTAGGAAAACTACAGTATAAGGACAACATAAGTCAGGGAATAATTAACTATGAAGAGTGGACTAGACTACTAGAAGCTCTGTCTAACCCCTTTCCTCAACCACTCCTTTACCCAACAGTCTCTCATTCCTTCTAAGCCCCTAACCGAAGGGGGGGGGGTGCAACTGAACTTCTGGGATTGTCACCTTTTGCACCACACACCAGATTCTGCTCATGCCACAAAACACAACCCTGCTTGCCCACATTGGGCAGGGAGATGCTCACTGAACATGGATTGCTTTGTTCCCAGTATATTAAGAGTACTCTAGGCTTATGCAGTCTCCTGTCTAAAGGCTTGCCATATGCTCAAAGAACACTTCCTGAGGGAAGTGGTTTCAGAAAAAAATGCAAGAAGTTTAAGAAGAGATCTACCGCTCCTAGAAATGATACCAACGCCCATGCCTTCAAGTTCCTTGGGCTGAATTTGGTCACAGGATTTAAACTCTGTGGCATATGGTGTATTAAATCATTATTTGGTCCAATATCAAAATGATTTTCAGTTCATTCCAACCAAGGGAATGGACAGTCTTTGGGACCAAAGCCCCAGGCCAACAGCATCTGATTATGCATCTTTTTTGTTTTCCTACTCAGATTATACTTTATTGCATCCATGCTGCATTCCTCTGGAAGACAGAACAATGGTATTGTTGCTGGCAGCAATGGTGGGTTATTCAGTCTGAAACTGATATCTGTTAATAGCGTTCACCTATTTGGCAGAAAGAAAAACAAATGGGCAGCTTTGAATAACAAACCCTATTTTTCCCCATGAAATGGATTTCTGTGAGGATGGAACACTTTATTCACCATGATTTAAAACAAACAAACCCCCCCACAAGATCTCCTGCTCCTCCTCTGACCACACAATAGTTCTTTATGTTACTATGGTGCTAGCGAAGAACTCAAGAGTATTTTAAAAGAAACTGTCATCTAGGCCTATTATGAACTGAAACAGACTTACTACTTTATTATGGTTTGTTTTTCCCACATTGCTAAAATTCATTTATCAGATTGCTGGTACACATTTCAAAACATTTCTGAATTCTCTCAGATAGGAACAGATGTTTTCAGGGCAATCATCAAACCAAACAAAGCAGGTGAGTCATACACACACACACACACACACACGTGCACACGCACACACCCCGACTTTGAAGAAAGAGGGCAAAAGTCAATCTGGTCCATGCCAGAAGTGAAATACCACATTAATCTCTTGGGAATATGAAAAGAGGTGGAAAATCCTATTTACTCTCACTGTACAGAACTCCTCAGCCCAATGCCTTCTTCCAAAAACATTTCTTATTGAAGAAATCTACACATTAATCAATTTGTTATAAATTTCAACAAGTTTATAATTGTGCTTTGTAGTAGTGTGATCACTTTGTAAATAGAAGTTAATCATACTTTCCCCCCTCTTTTTGTAGTTTTGCTTGGATCCAAAATACCTCGATTAGTTCCACAAGCTAGATTTAAGCTATTTAAAACAATTGCCCTTTCCTGGCCACACAAAAACCTTCTCTTGAATGTGGGAGAGTGTTTCAAAAGGAGAGTGAGACAGGGAAGAAGGTTTGGAGTTAAGAGGGAAAGTAAAAATTCCACTGGCTGTGGCCAAGCCTTGGATGCACCTTAAATAGATCTTTGGATCCTGGTTTGTATACTTAAAAAATAAATATGGCATCAATTCTCATTGGCCTGTGTCAAAAATTAGGTACAATTCACAGAAATTTAAGCCATGCTTATGTCCCATTTAAAGTAACAAGACACAAACCAAAGTGTGAAACACTTAAATCTAATGGAAATTCATAGCATTTACCTAGGAGCTTAATTTGTTGCCATTTCCATAGGACCTGCACATTCTAACTATACTGTGGATTGTGCGGAACATCCATAATTAAACCCTCATGTACAGCGACATGCACAAGATACACCTGAAATTCAAGTAAACTCCATAGCCCCAACAGAGATTATACATCTGCTCTCCTGAAAATAACATTTGTTATCAGGTCTAAACACTAAAACACTACAAAAGTTGAAAACAAATAAACTCACCCTCTAAATCCTTACCCCAACCCCAAGTATTTAATTTAAAGTGCACAAATATAGTCAAATCTATTTTAACATGACTAAAACTTTTGAAAACAATGTTAAAATTAAAACAGTTTTTGGCTGTACTACATTGGCATAAAGCAGTGAAGTTTATAAAAAACAAATGTTCAGCTAAATGTACCGTAAAATAGCAGCATTAAGAACTTCTACAATTAAATGGATCTGCAGTCTTTAGCATAAACCTGACAAATATTCAAAATGGGTTTTTCCTGTCCAAGCACAAAACCCTGGAGGTAGTGGCCACAATCTGCAGAAAGCTTCACATGCGCGTAAAAGGGAGAATTATATAGGGTTGGATCCAGACTAAATGTTCTCCTAATGGAAGGCACTTCCATCAATAGCAGAGAACTTCCTTGCCTCTTCCCTCCTGCTGCAGCCTGCTTATCTCTCTGAAATGATGCTCCTAGCAGGACAGGGGACCCTCAGGAATGGCAAGAGAGGAAAACTGGGGTGTGTGTATGTGTCTGCAGCAGTGAGATGGAATTGGTGGGAATGACACTTCTGTTTTGTTAGCAGTTTATTTGAGGATTTCACTGCAGCAGGTACAACAGAGGAAGAGGAAAGCTTCTTTTTTTAAAAAAAACAACCCTAAACTGTAGCTTGCCTCTTCAGCAGCAGGAACTGCTACAACAAACTCTTCAGAAGAAAGCAAGCTCTGGCTGCATACATATTCTTCCCCAGGCACATGTAGTTTCTTTGGCTTGTGGCCAGTAACTTTGTTTAGTCATACTCCATTAGCAACTGTGATCACTTATTTGAAATTGCACATGATACTGGAATACATACTAAGGTTATAAATATGGCAGCTGAAGATGCCATATATTAAAAAAACAAACCATAAGCATACATCAGAAAACAACGGTGTCTAATTGCTGCAAGTTCTATACTACAGACCGGTGCTCCCCGCACACATAGATGGCACTTGGCCGTATGCGTCTTCTGGTATGCCCAGGTAACTGCGGCAAAAATTTCAAGTACTTGGGCATCAAATCCAAGCACGCATCATGAAATTTTTTAATCCTCCAGTAGTAAATTAGTGGATTCAGGGCAGACTTGAGGTAGCAGAGCCAAAGGAGCCAAGTGCTTATCTCGAAAAAGTTGTGCTTGTGATAGAAGTGGCTGTTGAATGTGGCAATAAGGCTGTAGGTGGTGAAGGGTGCCCAGCAGATTATGAAGACAACAAACAAAATCAATATGGTTGTGAAGGCACGAGTTTTAAAGCTCATATCGATGTTCATCTGGAAGGGTCTCTGGAGGCTCATGAGGCCAAGTTTGCTGGCTTGACTGAGGCATATGCTATCCGGGTGGCTATGGATACGAACTGCATTGTGCCGTAAAGTGTTGAGGATGCCCATAAAAGAATACAACATCACCAAAAATGGAATGAAAAAGGAAATCAATACTACTAAGATCACATAGGCACGATAGCTGGGGTTTGTGGTGTAGCCAAAAACGCACTGCGGAGCCTTAGAAGGTATCTGTAGGCTGGGGTTTCCCACAGAGAGTGGGAAAGACACAACAAAGGCTGTAGCCCATGAGACAGCAATGAGGATCTTTGCGCGGTATGGATTCAGTTTATCCTGCCTCTGAACTATTATAAGGAACCTGTCGATGCTAATAATGAGCAGAATGGCTACTCCTTCTATGACGAATAGCCAGAAAAACATGGCAGAGATTCTGCAGAAAATGTCCCCAAAAATCCACTGAGTGGTGATGATGGTTATCAGAGCAAAAGGCATGTTTAGCACAGCAAGCAACATGTCTGCACAAGCTAAGCTTGCTAGGAGAATGTTAATAGCAGATCGCATTGCAGTCTTTTGATAGACCATGAGGCAGACAACAAAGTTACCCAGGAAAGAAAGCAAGAGTATAAATATCATGGCAGCAGAGAGAATGATCTGAAGTGGCAGGCTCAAGCTCTTGAAGTCTGGTTGTTGTACTGTAGGGGCAGCTGTACCATTGACTGCCAAAGTAGTTACCTCAGTGGTAACCATGGCACCCAGAAGATATTTCACTGGTTGTGTTGTGCCACTACGTACCAAGAAAAAAGGAGTGGTGATATTTATGTAGGCATTTTCGTAGACAATAAAAGTTGCATTTAATGTCCCCAAACGAGCTGACCTCAGCATTGC